GCCTGTCTACAATGGCTGCAAGTATTTGCACAAGAACACTGACCTTCTAATGTATGAAATCAGTGCTTCTTGTGCAAATACTCTGACACTCCCGCTCAGGGATAAGTCCTCTTGCGCAAGTGTTCTTGAACAAGAGGCCAGTGTAGACAGATAACATCAATTTCTTGCGCAAGAAAGCCCGATGGCTAAAATGGCCATTGGAGCTTTCTTGTGCAAGAGAGCGTCTACACTGGCACGGATGCTTTTGTGCAAAAGCATCCATGCCAGTGTAGACACTCTCTTGCGCAAATACTTTTAATGGAAAAACTTTTCTGTTAAAAGTATTTGTGCAAAATCATGCCAGTCTAAATGCAGCCTTAGTGACATAGCCGTGTTGATGCGCCCATGTTGCTCAAAGCTGTGTAGTGTAGACAAAGCCTGAGTCACAAACAATTAAACTGGAAGAAGTTAAACAACACTATCTGTCCAGAGATAGCCAAGAACAGCCATGAGCATTGCCAGATGGTTACCGCCTCTTTTCAAGTGGTGTTTGTGCAGATCAAGAGTTACACTGAGTGGGCCTCCCCATAGGGCTATAGTTACCCCCATTGTATTGACCGCCTGAAGTACATGGGCTCAGTGCATTGAAAGCACAAATGAGCTGCTATTTAGAGCACAGGTCTGGGAGCCAGGACTTTTGCCTTTCATCACTGCTGATTTGCTGGGTGACCCTCTATTTCTCCATCTATACACTGCATCCCACAGATTAGCTATGTGTAGTTTCCTCACTAATTTTAGAATGGTAGCTGGAGCTCCTTGGGTGAAACTCCTAGCCTACGTCTACACTGCAGGCTTCTTGCACAAGAACGGCTGTTCTTGAGCAAAAACTTGCAGAGAGTCTACACTCCACACGCGGTCTTGCGCAAGTAAATTTACAGTACAGCGTCAGAAAACAGGGCTTCTTCCGGAAGAGTTATTCCTCTCCCCACGAGGAATAAGCCCTCTTGCACAAGAGCTCTTCCACAGGAAGGCAGTGTAGACAGGCAACATGAATTTCTTGCGCAAGAAAGCCCTATGGCTAAAATGGCCATCAGAGTTTTCTTGTGCAAGAGAGTGTCCAGCCCCATGACATTTGCTGTTCCCTGTGCTACACTTGGGTACATCATTCATACCTCCAGCCAAGTAAAGACCATCGGTTTTTTCCCTCTTCTGTCGGGGGTAGGGCTAATTCCAATGGTTACAAGGAAAACCAGTCCAGAGGGCCTGCCGCAGGTCAGGTCTTGGCACGGTAAATACAAACCCACACTCGTCTGTTCACCTTTAGCCTATAGAAGCTGTTTATTTGCTGTAGCTTGATTTTTTAAATCAGATGCTGCTTTTACCAAGAAAAAATGACTTTTTCAAAGTTTTACCTGAGCAATAACCATTACCAATGCAACCCTGGAGTGGGTCTGGCTGTTTCTTGCTGTTTTTTATTGTTTACACCAGTGGTCTCCAACACAGTGCCCGCAGGTGCCATGGCGCCCGCTGAGTGATCAGGGCCGGCCCTGCCCCGGGCACGCGGTGCATGTGCGGTGTCAGCCCCAGGTGCCCAGCGCATGTGTGGCCCCGGCCCTGGACAGCCCCAAAAGGTTGGGGACCACTGGTTTACACTTTGTAACTTGCCGGGGGTCAGCTCAGGGCTCCATGCAGTGGTGATACTCTGTCAAAGCACTGCCCCAAAATCAGAGCAGCTGAATGTTTCTTCTAAATTACACGTAGGGATGTTAAGTAGCGATTAATAAGCTAATTGAGTATTCCATTGACTGCTCGATTAGTTGATAACGGGGTAACCGCCCATGGGTGATGCAAGCTGGGACTGAGCAGTGCTGGCTCATGCCAGTTCTGGGAGCTTACCCCCTTATCGACTAATCAAGTAGTTGATAGAATACTCAATTATCTTATTAACCACGACTTAACATCCTATATTTTAGAAGAAACATTCAGATATTCTGAGTTGGGAGCAGAACAGAAGCAGCAGGAGGGGAGTGAGTCGTGACTTAACTACCTGATAAGCCTAGGCAAACCGGGTAGTTGACTACTCAACTAGTTGCTCACATCCCTACTAAAATGATCCATGTTGTATGTTATCATTAGACTCCAGAGTCAACATTTCATTGAAACTAGGGACAGCCCAGACCTGGCAAAGGGCTCTTGTTTCTATGTTAACAGTGAACAGGTCACTTGTTCATAACTGGATGATCTTTGCAACCTAAAGGCTAGAGCTTTTAATTTTTAAACGAGAGTTGTAAGAGTAAGAGGGTGGCACAATAGTCTTTCAAGTGCATGAAGCAGGCTAATAGCTCTCTAGCCGGGACATGCATCCTCTGCCCAAAGGTGGCACATGTTCTTTCTCTACCTGACCCAGACGGTTACTTCCTCCAGACCTGAACGCCAATTGCCCATGTGTGACAGCATGTTGGACTGTTGCTAGCCCAGTGAGCTGTCCTAATGAAGTTTCTCTCTCAAATTAATTAGACCCAAGATTAACAAGGTGGCACAGCCACTCCAGCTCCCAACTGTGTGTCTTGGGCCCAGCGTTAACCAAGCTGTTTTACTTAATTCTTTCAGGCACTCCAGCAGGGATTTAATAGCCTCTGAGGCATAAAATCAAAACAAAAACCAAACAGAAAACTTCGCTCAGCTCCTAGAGAAAAGTCTTTTTACAGCAAGCCTGTATTGTAGCAGTGATGAGATTTGCCTTATTTAATATAAAGAGGTCACAGTCACATTCCTGGGCTTTGTGACCAGGGAGAAGACAGCAACAGCAGCTTAATAAGCCAGGTGGCCTCTCCCTGTGCTGACCCTGGGATAAAAATGCTGACTGGCTGACAGTGAACCTCTTTGTCTCTTTATGTACCATGCTAGCATACGGGGTGTGTCTAGACTACAGGGTTTTTTTTCGAAAAAAGTGGCCTTTTTTCCAAAAAAACTTTCTCTGCGTCCAGACTGCTGCCGTGCTCTTTCGAAAGAGAATCAAAAGAATGCGGCAGTTTTTTCGACCGCAGAAAATCTCGTTTTATGAGGAAGAACGCCTTTTTTCGAAAGTGCTCTTTCAAAAAAAAGCGCTATATAATGCAAACTGTGTTTTTTTAGTCTGGATGTTCTCTTTCGAAAAAGTGGCTTGCTTTTTCGAAAATACTGGTTGTAATCTAGTTGCTCTTTTTCGAAAGAGGCTTGCAGTCTAGACGTAGCCATGCTGAGCCCCCAACCTTAGGGAAAGTGCTGTTCCTTTCAGCCTTCTGAGGGATATGGAGCAGGGTCACTTTTATCATCTGCTATATGGCAGTTTAATCTTTGTTCTTCTATGTTGTGTGTCACAAAGCTGGTGCTGAAATTGGAGTCCCATTGTACTACACATGGTATAACTATCTATGTGGTGGTGTGGAACAGAAGTGCTTACAGTAAGTCCAACTAGCGAAGCCAAAGCGTGGGAGGACATGAGGCCCGGAGCAGTGAAGTGACTTATTTATGGTCTCACAGATCAGTGAAAGCACTAGGAAGAGAATTTCCTTTTGACTGTTAGCTAGTGGCCTACGCATTACACCACACTGCCACACTACCTTAACTCTCACACATCTTTATGCTGGAAATTGCATTTGCTGTGTTGGCTCTTGATACCAGTGGGATTACCAACCAGCTGATTAGCAGAGTGCCCACAGCTATCAACTTTTGTTTCTACTGGTGGTGCACATTCACAGCACACGTAACAAAAATTATTCTGCCCATGGATGGAAAAAATGAGAGGGAACAGTGAAACAGAACCTCTCACACCACACCAAAAGGTGCTGAAAATGGTTTGTCACACAGCTGCCATGGGACCAGAACGGGAGAAGGCTAAATAGGCAACTGGCCAAAGACTTCTAAAGGGAAGAATCAAGGAAGCTTCCAAATGTTCTGCGATCTTGTGTTCGGCAGACAGGTTGCTGATCCCTTCTATAAGAACAGATGCCTGACATATAGCCAGCATGCTTGATTACTTTTACAGGTATCTTTGGAAGTGGAACGTTTATTTAATCAAGCTACCCAGTTAGAATGTCTCCAGTGGGTGCACTTCAGTACAGAAAAGCAAAAAGGTTGGTTGGTTGTTTTTCCTGAATGGGCAAAGAGGGTCTCTTGACTAAATACCTAATTTTGGATTAAACCCTAACTTTACACTGTATCTCAATAAATGGACACGAGTACAAAATGGCCCATCACACTTGACAGGAAGCAAAATCCACCTTTGATGTGAGAAATTACAACATCTTGACAGTCCTTTTAAGGTAGCCTAGATTCTTTTTGATAAAAGTTATATTTGCTTCTAAAAGAAGCTGAATTGATTTTAATGGCTGATGTGTTAGTTTGACTATAAATGAAGTATGTCTTTCCACTTGCTATTGATCACTGTAGCTCTGGAAGTGGGGAGACCAGAGATCTCTAGCTCAGAACCACTTAAATTTTTTTTTAAATGTGCAGGCTATAGCATTCTGCTACTGTAGAATGACAAATAACTTGATGCCAGCCATAGGTGATGATTACCAGTAAGTGAGACAGAGAAGGGTGTTCCCTCACTTCAAACTACTGTTTGTTGTTTCCTTGGGTGTATCTGCACAGATGCCCGTTCAGGAACACAGTAAGGAAAATGATCCTGCTTAAGTCACTAGACACTAACCTATTTACAATAAACTTTTTTATTTGTCATCTGCACCAGACAATAAGAAAGGGTAGCAAAGGGTCAGTAAAATTTTCGCTCTTAAAGAACTTTGCATTCCTCTGTTTAATAGCACAGTGCATTAGTGAGTGAACTTGCTGCTGTATTGATCTGACCGCATTAATCCACTGGCCAGGAGCAGAGAATCATCCAGTTCTACTAGAGAATATCCCAGTTCCACTGATTTCAAACTCAGCGCGGGTGGTCAGTGCTGCAAAGGAATTCCCTCTCTCTCCACAGTGCAAGGACAGTGAAAAGTGATCAGTGGTACATACGCACAGCTACCATGTATATACTGCACAGGCTTTAATGGAACAGTAGTCTATTTCAGCAAGACTACTATACATTTGTATATTTGGGGAAAACATATCAAACTTCACTCTCTATCCAATTTGTTTCAGGGGGTGTTCTGCATGTGCAAGAATTGGAAGAAAAAAAGGTCCAATAATGGTTACGTTTGATTGCACTAGAAAAAAATATTAAAATATACAGGTAGAAGACTGATTATTCCTATTTGTGGATAGGAACAATACAGCTGATGGTGAGGGTTTCTCATATCCCTTTTTGTGCATGCATGTCCTGCTCATTTTAGTCGATGAACCTTCTTGCCAAAAAAGTAATTCTTAGAGAAAGGAGAATGCTTTACTAAAACAAAAAATGTAGGAGTCCCAGCCTTTACAAAGTATCTGCAAAAAAACACAAAAAAGCCATTAATCATCTTCATTTCTACCCCAATATTATATAGACTGAAAGCCCTGGACCCACTTCAACAATTAAAAAAATTGGCTTCATAAGGGCTGATGACAAGATTTTTTTTTTGCTGAATTAGCAGCACCTGTTCCATCAATGTCTGTGCACATATGGGGAGAGTGTTTTATGACTCAATTCCTCTCCCCACAACTTTTCTAATTACAATTAAGATAGTATTATCACCCTGAACATCCCATCTATCCTGCCAATTTAAAGCTGCAATAACTGGCACGGATTATGCATGCTGCTGAGTTGTATGGAATGATAGCTAAGATACAGTCCTGAAAAGAAAAATCCTTGTCTGAGATTTTATTGATGACTTTGCAGCAAGATCTCTAGCTGTAAAAAAGTGGTATGCTGACTCAGTAATACAAGCAGCACAATATTCCTTCTCCCCATATATAGAACCTAGCTTCTTTTTAAATCTAAAGTCACATGCGATTTTTTTTATTGTACACTGGGGTTAGGTCAGCCTCTCAACTTCTTTGCAGCTAAATTCAGATTTTTTTTTTTTAAATCAGCATGGGGTGTTCTAGATCTCACAGGCACACTGGGTTGTCAGCGCCAGACACCTGATCCCTTCAATACTCTCAGTCCCCGAGGTCTACGCTCTTGATTTTTTTTAACAAAGTGTTTGGAAACGGCATTAATATCCATCTGGGTGTGAGCGAAAACAACAGAGCAAAGACAGTGCAATTTTCATGTAGCCCACTGAGGTGTTAAATAAAGTGGCACAGAGGTAATTTTATGCTGTTTCTTCTCTTTCAAAAACACACATTATGGATGCAGACCAAAAAGCTAGGTGATCTCCTTCTCATGTAGTTTAGACCTTCCCTCCTTATGGATTCCAAAAGTCAGACTGGGAAGTGTGATTTGTTATTAAAAAAGCCATTTAACCCTACACAGGAGGCACCTGAATTTTACACAGTGAGCGTGACTGTACTTCTCACATGACAGATGAACAAATAAAATGCTATTCCAGGCCACTCTCTCACCTTTGGTGCTGCAGCACTTGTAGCAATGTGTTTTGTGTGTTCAGCTGGTACATTTCCTCTCTTGCTTCATCTTCAAAATAAAGCTGGATAAAATAAGGTGAATATTTAAGATACACCTGTGGGCAAGCCAGAGGTACCAGGAACACTAGCTTAAAGTCTGCTGACAGATTCACCACGATCACACACATGGTTAGGTAACAGAGGATCTGCATATATGTCTTCTAGTCTCTAAAACGAGGGTACTAGTAAGGACTCTTAAAGCTTCATATACTGAAAAGGGAATAGAAAGACCTTGGGGGAAGGGAAAAAAACCAGAGACGTAGAAACCTGTCAACAGCTGGTTTTGTAGAGATGCAGGCTTTTATTTCTTTACTATCTCCATGACTTTCGTTATATAAACCAGTATCTTTTTCACTTGTTATGACTGCCCTTGCATAAGACTGTCTCCAGCCAAACAACAGTTGCACTAAGAATGTGAAGTACTCTGCTTGTCAATGAAGTGATGGGGTTATGGGAATAAAAAACTTGGGAACACTTTTTAAAAACTGGCTAAATTTATCCCTGTGTAACTTCATTATAGTTATCCAATCGATACATTTAGCCTATTCTGTTTAAGAATCATTATTACTACAGCTAGGTCTAAAACAAAACTTGTCCCAACATATTTAAGGCCCCTTAGATTGCATATGCTTCCTGTTGGCAGTTTTCACCTGATAAAATAGTGCCTGAGGACTTGTCATGCTTTAGGAAAAGACTGCTGCCTTGAGATAGGATACTGCAGTGGGAAATAATCCCACATACCTGTAAGCGTGTAATTCACGTTGACACATTCTGAAAACGTATGTGAGAAGTCACAACCTAATTAAATTATTTATCTAAATGGTTACTCTCATCAAGACTCCATACAAAATAGCATCTAACTCAGATCTAGGCTACTTATTTCTAACAATCATTCCTGTGCTTTTCTACTATGTATTAGTGTACACATTATTTTGAACATTTTTCACTAAAGTATGGATTAAAAAGTTATTAAGTTAACAACCTACAAGTGTAATTCTTGACCATTACATATATGGGAATCGAAGCAATAAAATACCTCATAATAAAAATATAAATCCAAACTGAGTGTGAGAGAGAGAGAGAGAGAGAGAGAGAGAGAGAAAGACATTTTCACTTTCTTAATTTAAACAACTTTGTGTACTTCTAACAACTACAATAAATTTAGGAAGCTTCCTAACCTGGAAATGTCTGAATGAATGTACCATCCTCAACCTTATTTCACATGAAAGCATGCTAAGCAAAAATGTTACATATATATTTTGTATACTTAGTAAGCTGCTTATGAGAAATCAATTAAAATGTACATCTTAAATACAAAATAGAAAAAAGGACACATTTTCTACCTCTAGGTTGCCAGGATGATATTTTCTTTCCAAATCCCAAGGTGGTAACTCAGCAAACATCACCAGTAAATGATCAATAAATCTAAAAGCCAAGGTAGATCTTGCTATGATCCTAGTCACAACATTATACAGCATTCAATAAATACAGTACTATAATCCATGCTAATAAATCTACTAGTTCAACTGCTCTAATTCTTATATTTCATATGAATGATGGCAAAGATTACAGGAGAAAGCAGGTTAATCATAATCAATAGGTTCAAGACAAATGTTAATTTCACAAACATACTCTTCACATGTCAAAGTTTAGACTTTGCTTTAAACACATATTTTCATTAACAACTTTCACAGCAGCAGAAAGTAAGCATTTAATTTGATTTTAGAGTTTTAAGGGATACTGCCGAGATACATGTATATTAATTCAAAATTGATTTTCCCCTTTCTAAATTACTAACAAAGCTATAAATTAGCGCATGCGCGTGCACACACACAAAAAACCCTTTTCAAAATCTAATTTACGTGTCATTATTTATGCTGCCTGTTTACTTTTTACACTTTGGTCATCTTACACAGTGAAACTGCTCTGATTTGTAGGAATCATTTTCACTTCCTTGCATCTTGTACACAGCACAATGCTCTTGTTTTCCAACAATGTAGGACAATGTTAAAATCCCTTCCTTACCCATCAACATTGCAATTCAGAACAAAAATAATTCATTAATATTATGTTTGCTTAATACACATGCCACCATAAAAGTGTTATGAATGTCAAGTCAATTAACTTGTAACCCTGCAGGGCTAGAAGCTGAGGCCATGTCTCCACTTGCAGAGATTGATCTTCTGCTGTTCATTTTAGCAGGTCTAAAAAAGATCCGCTAAATCAAATGCTGAGGGTGCCTCCAGTATGGTTCTGGTACTCCTCACAGTCATGAGGAGTAAGGAAAGCAAAGGGGAGCATTTGCTTCCATCGACCTCCAACTGTGAAGACAGCACCACACTCAGCTTAAAGTATGTCGACTCCAGTTATGTTATTCATGTAGCTGGAGTTGTGTACCTTAAGCTGATCTTCTGGTTCTAGTATAGACGTGGCCTAAAGCTCACACCAAGGGAAGGGGACTTCCTCCTTTCCTATGTGATACAGCACTTGCTTCTAGCCTGGAGTTAACAGAATACTACTAGATATCTAAGAGCTATTTTCAGTCATTTTTGGAAATGTTTTATAATTTTAACTTCTTTCTCTGAAACCTTTGTACCATATTTTCCAGCGTATAAGACGACTTTTTATACTAAAAAACATCCCCCAAAAATCGGGGGTCGTCTTATACGCCGGGTATAAACATACAGGTAGTCCCCGACTTGCAGGTACGAACGGGGCTTTTCTCGCCCCGGAGGACACGGACTACGGGACCTCGCGGTCCCACCGCCCGTGTACTCCGGGGTGAGAAAAGCTGCTCAGCGTCTCCCTGGTCTGCAGAACAGGAAGACGCGGAGCAAAGCCGCGGAGGGGCTCGGGCAGCCAGGCAGCCCAGGCGGAGGGGCTGGGGCTGGTCTGCAGGGAGACAGGGAGCAAAGCCTTAGAGCCTTGGAGCACGCCCGCAGCGGGACAGCCCGGGCGCGCTTGAGCTGTCCCCCTGTGGGCGTGCTCCGCGGCTTTGCTCTCCATCTGCCTGGTCTGCAGGGAGACGGGGAGCAAAGCCTTGGAGCACACCCATAGC